TTACACATGTGATCACGCAATGGTGTCAAATAAAAACGTTAATGTGAGTACATTAACCATTTCTGAAAATAGCTGAACTGAAGGCTTAGAATTGCATAAAGTGTCTGGTATATTACACATTAGCAACACCTTTGGGCGTAAGAAGAGGCCACGAGAAGCAGTGATATCATGGTCATGCCACAAATCTTTGTTTTGCTGTAACACGCTATTCTTTCAAATAGAATTGTGGCCAACGAAAAGCCTGCTATCTACATTGTCATCAAAATATATTTCCATTCAATAAAAGCTAAATTTACTTTGGATATCCTGACTTGAAACTTTTTGTTTGTTTGTTTGTTGTTTAACGCCTAACCCAGCAATATCCCAGCTATATGACGGCGGTCTGTGAAAAAATCGAGTCTGGACCAGAGAATCCAGTGATTGACATTATGAGCATTGATCCACGCAATTGGGATACGATGACATGTATCAACCAAGTCAGCGAGCCTGACCACCCGATCCAGTTAGTCGCCTTTTACGACTAACATAGTCGCCTTTTACGGCAAGTATGGGTTGCTGAAGACCAGGTCAGACAAAACACTGGTTGATAGCATGAGCAACGTGTCGTCGGGGCACGATGATGCAACCATCTTCATTTTAAATGTCAATCATCATCCAGGCACTTCCCGTTGAATATATTGAGAATATGTCATGTGTCGAGTGAAATATCATGTTTCTCTCATCGAGTAACGGGGGAAATGAGATATTTTAAAGAGTGGCGTCGTGAGAGAAACATGTTATTTCAAGAGACACATGGAATAGCCTATTCATTTTGTACTTTTTTGTTCTTGTCTGCAAATGTATAACCCTGAAAAGTTAATTCTCTCTCCATTTACGGCAAGTATTGGTTGCTGAAGACCTATTCTACCCCGGAATCTTCACTGATACTGAACTGGTGCTTCACTTTGAAAATTATAACTGATTCGCTGAGCCCCTCTGGTAGCACGAGCGCATAACATTGCAGTGAACAAATATACATCATGAGAGTTAACATCCCTCTGGGGACTCCTTGTCTGTTGTATTGATATGATGAAGCTGACCTTGCAGAGTGGACTACAATGCAGGGGTTGGGATATCTCCCGACTGACCATCCTAATGGGGTCAAGCCGTCATCAATGCTTCCAATCCTCCTCCGGTTCCCACATCTTATGGGGGCACGGGCGGCCCAGTCGTCTAAGGCGTCGCGATTCGCTGTGCAGAGTTGCGTCCCTTGGGCACGCCAGAAACCTATGATTGTGGGTTCGAATCCCGGTTCGTCCCGATTATGTTTGTAGGTTTGTCAACACCATACCCGTGCTCGTGGGTTTCACCCAAGTGGTAAACGTCTGAGACCTGCATCACTTCGGGCTTTCCTCCCACATTAAGCTGACACGCCGTGATATAACTGGAATAATGTTAAAAGCGGCGCTAAACCCAACTCACTCACTCACTCCCACATCTTATATTTCCAAGGTATATATAACAGATGTAACCAGATATCGGAGCTCACAGAATATGTTACATAGAACATGCGTGACTCGAGAAATCAGCCTTTACCTTTGATATGTAAGTTCAAAGGCTGAACTACATATACCGCGCAACGACTAAAGGAATTTAGCACCCATTAATGACCGCTATACATCTCCCGTCTTAGCATAATGTTTCAGCCCAGCGCCAGACATCCTGGAACTATATAGACGCATCTACTCCCAATAATAATGCTGAATATGGAACTATTTGTTGGACATTATATATCATATGCTGCAGGTACTGGATCCTTACTGCCGAAACTTGATAAGCCTATTATATGTTTTGTTGGTGTTCTTTAGTGAGTTGGGTTTAACGTCGCTTTTAACAGTATTCCAGTTATATCATAGTTTAACGTAGGAGCAAATCCAAGTGATGCAGGCCTCAGACGTTTACCACTTTGAGGAAACCCACGAGCACGGGTATGGTGCTGACAAGCCTAGAAACATAATCGAGGCGAACCGGGATTCGAACCCACAATCATAGGTTTCTGACGTGCCCAAGGGACCCAACTCTGCACGGCGAATCGCGGCGCCTTAGACGACTGGGCCACCCCTGGTGTTTTAATTGAAATCAATGCATGCATAAAACATAGTCACATGTATATTCAGCGTCATTATTTAAGGGTCACTTGGACAACTATGCCAACAAGCGTCAATAGGTTGAGTATGTTGACGATGTGATTAATGGTTAAAGAACATGTACTTTATGCCCACGTCACACTGGAACTAGAAACATGGACAGCGTCTATAAAAAATAACATGTGCAAGATTGAATGTGATGGAGAAAAATTATAACAGATAACAGCCAGTGTGGTAAAAAATGGTTCATTCCCGCTGCAACTACACTGCACTGCACTCATTGAAGTTGAAATTGCGACGTTTACGTGACTATTTACGTGACCCCTCAATAATGACGTCAAGTACTTATTATATACTTTAGTGTGAGATTTCCGAAGTGAGAAAAGTAATATTTTCATTGCAGTGAGCACAACACTTGGACGGAACTATTGTCATACAAGAGTTATCTCCCCGCAAATTATCCCCCTTTTTTAGTAAATGTCTAGCCCGTACGCAAACGGTTGACTTCCTTTTTACGTTAGTTCCACATTGACAAGGCAAAATAACGACAGATGGTCATTGGAGTAAATATCACTTCTTGCCGTTTGTTATTCTCTTGAAAATGTTTCGTTATATACCGTAAATTTCTCATTGAACGTAACTGTTCGTTTCGCTAAGCCATTTTTTGTTACTTAACCAGCGTATATTCCTTCGCTTCCAACAGCAGTCTCATAGGTTTCAAGAATATTTTTAGGTGAAGTTGAAATGTATGATAAAGAATTTTAGTGACCTCAAACATTTTGTATTACTTTTATTCATATTTTTTAAGATTTTGCAAACTCGGAACTACTTTTTAAGTCGCAATGACAAGGGGTGGTTAAACATCCCTGCGTGTGAGGTAGGGAGAATGAACTTTTCAAGGTTATACATTTGCAGACAAGAACAAAAATGTACAAAATGAATAGGATATTCCATGTGTCTCTTGAAATAACATATTTCTCTCACGCCGCCACTCTTTAAAATATCTCATTTCCCCCGTCACTCGATGAGAGAAACATGATATTTCACTCGACACATGACATATTCTCAATATATTCAACGGGAAGTGCCTGGATGATGATTGACATTTAAAATGAAGATGGTTGCATCATCGTGCCCCGACGACACGTTGCTCATGCTATCAACCAGTGTTTTGTCTGACCTGGTCTTCAGCAACCCATACTTGCCGTAAAGGCGACTATGCTTGTCGTAAAAGGCGAGTAACGGGATCGGGTGGCCAGGCTCGCTGACTTGGCTGATGCATGTCACTGTATATCAAAATTGCGTGGATCGTTGCTCATAATGTCAATCACTGGATTGTCTGGTCCAGACTCGATTACTTTACAGACCGCCGTCATATAGCTGGAATATTGCTGAGTGCGGCGTTAAACAACAAACAAACAAAAATGTTTTGTCCGACCTAGATACGAGCATTTACAAACCGGCGTGATACTGACGTTACGAGAGGGTATGATTATAAAACAAACCCATCTTATTTGAATAGATACCACTAATGTCCCTCACATTGTTGCCAAGTAGCTGGCCCATGGATTCTTGCACAAACACCCACGACGTCAAGGCTCCACACTCTCAGTATACTTATTTGTGACTTCACCTGCAATGACACATTCCAGTTCCGGAATCGATGGTCAGCTGAGTGATCAAGAGCGACAGCCACTGACGCATATGCCTGTGTCAGCCGTACAGTCATTGCTAGCTATTATTAGAAGTTTGTGTTAATTCAGCATTGATGATTTCATACAGAGAAGAACATTCTATAATAATTCTAGATTCTTAAAATCACTTATAGAGATCTGATCCATACTTATATCTTAGGATATTTGAAGAAAACTATTTTGGAAATAATCTGACTTTGAAACATTTAGAACCTGGGTGTAGACAATGCAGGACCGTCTATATTTGCTTGAACTATTTTTAAGGAAACTTTCTTATTGGAAATAAACTGACGTTAACTGAGACCATCCACTATATGACGAAATCATAGTTCGAGATATACGACCTCAGTTCTAATACGAATTATGCTCTGACCGTAAACAAGACTCATGAAAAAACATAATTTTATCCAGGTATACAAGTTAAAGCGGTTTCATCGTATTTAGTGTAATTAAAAATTGTGGCTTTTTTGTAGTAATCCATTAAACTATACAACTGAACCTAACTATGGAACCTATGGAAAGGCAATGTTTAAAATAATTATATGTCAATGTTAGGATGTCCGTCATGGGGTCATTATTGCTGTCTTCTATGCAAACACACTCCGTAGTATTGAGGAGGAGTGTAAATGCTCAAACAACCTCCTTCCAAAGTCTATCAACGTTCACCTCCTATCAATTCTGCAGTGAGGAACTCAACTCAAAGAAGAGCATGTATTACGAAGTCTTTCGGTTAAAGTAATAAAACTTCTCACAAAAAATTCAGCATGGCCTTTATCAAATCCCATGATTCAAACCCCAAATCATTTTGGGAGAATGAACGTCAGCCTGATTTAATTCAGCGGTAATTGTGTTTGTATAGGGCTGACAAACATACTGTTATCCCCAAGACCAATCCCATCCTTCCATCTCCCCATAATGGATTGTGAGATTATGTTGTATTTTCCAAGTTGAAATGCCTAATTTTCTATCGCTCTTATAGTTCATTCGTCTTTTGGATCAATACTCTGAACCAGAGACACGCCGTTGTTTCGTCTCCCCAACACATAAAGCCATCTTTAATTATTTACAACGTTCATTGTACCTATTACCAGGATATATCTGTTCAACCGTTTACTCCACTACATAGAACCATAGTTTGTAGAATTGGCGGTCACGTGACAAGCGGTTTCAGCGTAATAATTTATGATCAAGTCTCTCTCAGTCTATCGACCAGCTCCATACGTAACGCGCAGGCTGAGATGTCGTCTGCTTTGTGACAACGCGTGGTCTGCAGACGACACTCCGCGTGTAAGGATGGATGCCTGTTCGCAGTGTCTTGCGCGTGAATTTCGATCGGAAAATGCTGGACTAGGATACGAAAATCCCCCAGTATTCGTCACATCCCAGGTAGGGAACTATTTTCCTGATCATGATTCGCTTATTTCTAGCTTTGAACAAAATAGCGAGACTATGTGATGCTCTCCTGTAAGTGAACACGACAAGTGTATATTGATAGAAGTCTTTACACACTTGTGTTGCACCGTGCATGCGGTTAATATTGACAAGTGGCGATGCAAACACCGTTTGCCGGAGCTAGCCCATTTGCTTGCATCATTTACCACGTTTACATGAAACGAAATATCTCCAAGTTACATGACGACTTGTTTGCATGTATTCTTAGGGAGCAGCTACAGACGCTTCTTGGGTTTCCTTTCTTCAATTCAACTCGTTAAATCATGTTTAATGTTTGCAACTCGTCTTCGGCGTTGGGTATTAGACAAATCTGAGATCAGGTTAAAGAAAAGTTTGTAGCAGAGATTTGTATTCACTGTAATTTTACAGCTAAAATAACTCACAAATACTAGAACCTTTCAAATATCAAGGGTCACGACAAACCATTCTTAATCTTGCTACTCACTATCACATACTGGTATTTAGACTACACGAATAATGTGAATGCATATGTTTTGTCAAATATTGTAATCTTTTTTGTGAAATACGGGGTTGTAATGGTTCTTTTGAAATGGACAAAATTTTCATCTGGTATATAAATACCAACTACAAATGCCGTTGTAAATCTAGGTCACACTGAAAGATAATTGCAGCAAATTGCAGCTGTAGCAATAGCATAATCATCGTGCTTGGTGTTCAGTGAACAATACACATTCCCTGTGGAACCATCAAGTCTTGTTAGCATTCCCAAAGCGTTTTAAGTTAGCTTGACGTTCCCATTACGCGGAATCCATCACACATAAACGTCTACCTTTGATGTACAAAAAGCCTTTCTTCACGTAGTGTCCTTGTGCAGGACATACACTATACAGCAAACGTGTTTTGTTCTACGAAAATGTTTATATTAAAAACAAGTAGATATATACAGGAAAAGAGAATATGTGATCAGTCTTTTCGAACAGCTAAATGAATATTTTGAATTCACAAAGAAAATATTAGATGACAATATACATTCTGCAACAGAATAGCATCCTTTACAAATATAATGCTCAAAACATTATCCTGCAGAATATGTCAATTACATCAAAATTGTTTGTAAATGTGCTCAGACTATTATGCACATGTTTTAGATTTCATGTTGGTATTTCAGTTCCTAACGGCCCCCAATTCCCTTCCCCCACAGAGAGAAACTCGCCAATCCTCCAAAGTAATCCTGGTTTAAATGTTAATTCCTATATCACGCTCATGTCAACATCTTTCAATAGAGTTGATCTGTAAAACAAAGTCCACGGCGGGTATATGGTTGCTTTCTTAGGCTAGTCTCCACGCTCCATATCAATAATTAATGCCCATCCTTTGATATATTATTCGCTAAACAGGTTCATATAATCTTATCAGTCTGTCCGTGAGCCATTTAGATTACTTGTGCCCCCTGGTCCCCTTCATTTAAACTTTACTCCGGGCCTTCTCCACCCCCACCCACCACCCCGACCCCAAACCCCACCTCCCATCCCCCACCCTATCCCCACCGTAACACCAAACCTCCCATATATATACTCGACTTAAAAACAGGCCCTCTCCACAACTTCACACCCCTAAACGCCCTCAAAGCAGAGGTGAACAACGGTCCTTTAACAGGACCTCCCTGTGCTACCAAAATCAACGCACCAAACTGACGTGCCTCACCACGACCCTGGGACTTTCCACCACAACGTTTTACCATGCCTCTATGTCCAAGACCCGTTATACTAAACCCCTCTATGTACCTCTACCCAGGGGCCCTTTGCTTGACACCATGGTATGCAACGCACCACACGCATGACCGCTTCACACGTAACTAACGTACGAACGCGCACACGCATAACACAAGTATGACCCCCTCCCCACGTACCTAACGTACGAACACTCACACACATAACACAAGTATGACCCCATCCACACGTACCAAACGTACGAACACTCACACACATAACACAAGTATGACCCCATCCACACGTACCAAACGTACGAACACTCACACACATAACACAAGTATGACCCCATCCACACGTAGCAAACGTACGAACGCACCACACGTACCTAACGTACGAACGCTCACACACATACCACAAGTATGACCACTCCCCACGTACCAAACGTACGAACGCTCCACACGGAAAACACGCATGACCCCTCCCCACGTACGAACGCTCACACACATACCACAAGCATGACCACTCCCCACGTACGAACGCTCACACACATACCACAAGTATGACCACTCCCCACGTACCAAACGTACGAACGCACCACACGTACCTAACGTACAAACACTCACACACATACCACAAGCATGACCACTCCCCACGTACGAACGCTCACACACATACCACAAGCTTGACCCCTTCCACACGTACCAAACGTACGAACGCATCACACGTAGCTAACGTACGAACACTCACACACATACCACAAGTATGACCACTCCCCACGTACGAACGCACCACACGTACCTAACGTACAAACACTCACACACATACCACAAGTATGACCACTCCCCACGTACGAAGGCACCACACGTACCTAACGTACAAACACTCACACACATACCACAAGTATGACCACTCCCCACGTACGAACGCACCACACGTAGCTAACGTACGAACACTCACACACATACCACAAGCATGAACACTCCCCACGTACCAAACGTACAATTGCTCCACAAGTAACACGAGTTTAACCCTTCCCCACGTATCAAATGTACGTCCGCAGCATACGTGGCACACGCACCAAAGCAACCACCACCATGTCCAATACTAGCTCCGTTAGGCTACATCGACTTCTATCTCCACCCCCGTTAGTTCGATTTACAAAGATACCACGAGATCCAAAACTCTGTGTTTGCTACCTTGGTCCGTCCTCTATATACCGAGAGGGGGTGGAAGCAAGCTCTCCTGCCCTCGCTCCGATACAATCACGCTTGTAATCTTCAGCCAGGCCCAGCACGCAATGAATATCGTGACATTTGTTTACCACGTTTTGCACAGAGGAACCACAAGCATATAGTTTATGGCCACAGAGAAAATACATTTCATACATGCTGAAACCCCAGGACTCGCCTAAATCAAGCTGGTGCACGTAAGCAGAGTAAATATGTGTTAAACACGATTGCAGTGTACACAGACGAGAGTGCTTCAGTCAAAAAACGATTGATTTCATGCAAATACCAGTAACCGGTGTATTTGATGTAACAACACGTTGTGGTTGTTGTTGCTGTTGCAGCTCCCCTGCAGACAACATTTGCACAGCAGCATGTGGTACTCAATGTTGCAAGCCGTCGCCATCAAGGTCGGCCAAAAAATATTTAGCATATAATGTGCTTGTTAATCTAAATATTCATAAAAATAATGCCTTATTTTGCTATTGGAATATTCATTTTGTGCAAAATTAATCATTCAAGCAAGAAACATCGCATGCAAATGAATTATTAATTTTGTGAAATGGATGTAAAAACCTACTAGCGCCCGAAGGCAGATTGGGCTGTGTACTCCCCAGGGAGTTGAGAAAGATGCATACGGATCCACTTGTCGGGGTACAAATACTCCTCATTTGAGCAAATACCAGTACCTGGATAAGTGCGGTTAATAATAATAATAATAATAATAATAATAATAATAATAATTCTAATAATTTATATCATTGAATTCTCTGTCACCTTTGACACCTTTGACACTTATCTGATTGACAAGATTCTGTAAAAAACATGGCAAATAAGGGGACGTCACTTTCGAAATGTCACGCTTGCATTCCAAGTACCAAGTTGTCCGACTCCCCATTGTTCTCGGTGCCTTAGGTTTGGGTACCTCCCAATCTTTGGATGACAGACATTGGGAGAGTGCCCGGGGTTGCTACCAGGAATACAGCCCTTCTGACAATCTGGGTAATGCAGAAGGCTGCAGTGTTGGGGAGTCTTCACATTCTCCGAAAAGTTCTGGGTGGTTTGACTAGGCAGCGCTTCCTGGGAGAAGTCCCGTTCGCTGTCTGGGCTGCGTGTAGAGGGGGCAAGGGCCCTGAGCCGATGATGATGAGCCTTATGAGCCTGACTATGCCAGGATCACCCAGACCCTCTTTGCTGCGGTCTATAATAATAATAATAATAATAATAATAATAATAATAATAATAATAATAATAATAATAATAATAATAGAATCAGAATAATAATCAGAATAAGAATAATGATATTAATATTAATTTATGCTGGTATAAATATTTTAACAAATTATCCTTCATTCAGATGATGCCAGAAAAAAGCTCAAGCCTATCAATCCTAGGATTTATCCAAAACCTTATGCAGATTAACCACTGTGGATGCAATTCAGTCTGTCACGATCATTACTGTCATTCGCTGAATACGACTATATGAACGTTAAGATATCGACACAAAGCAAAGCTTCTGTACCTTGACGTACTAAATTGACACTCGGGTATGTCATTTCTTATCACCCATGCATATGTCCGCTCTCACTGGACGGGCCTCAACTTTGATGTAGACAGACTCATGGCCAAGTCAGATCCATAGACAAACACAAAGTCAAGCCTGATCCCATTGCTCGGGTGTCTATCTAGAGAGAGACTCTATGACAACAGGTTGTTTGTCGTTGTCTAGTCACAGCATCTACAGCTCATAACGAACGCATAGTCCTTGTAAGTCACCGTGACCGAGGGATGTCAGTGCAATATTGACCGTCTGAGAGTCCGAAACACTCATCTTTAGTCACTCCAGTGACTTCATCACGGTTGTCTGCTTACATGCCCTTCGACAGACGCACTCCCTTAACCTCCCCCGTCAGTCACACGGACCAACCCTCCCCCCTCCCCCCCCCCCCCCCCCCCCCCTTTTCCCTCCCAACTCCTTCTGCCTGGCAGGCACCAGACGGACTAATCAGTACTGTCAATTATCCGGGACCTGTTG